ACATGGACCTAACTCTTCCCAAGCTTCGCTCACAAATCCATATGAGTCCGCCCCCCTTCAACCACACGATTTCCTTGGATCTCAACAATATCTCCCGCCGATCAACCGAAATGACACTGTTTCACCGTTTTACCAGCGACAGCCGCCTGTTAACCGCAATGATACTATCTCTCCGCTAGGAAATGGGCCACCTCCAGTTCAGCAAAGACCACTCAACTTTGAACCAATGCAAGCACCTTTCCAACCCTTCCCCCCAAACAACATTCCAAGAAGATTTCCAGTCCGACCTCAAGAGCAGAATTTTGATTCGGGGATCCAGCAACCGCCAACCGCACACACCCCATCTCCGGCTCCCGAGTTTTCAAAATACACAGAGCATAGGCATACACCTCCAGTCCATCATATGCCACAATCTGAGATCTTTGAAATGGATGGCGGTGTCACCGCTAACCCACAGGCCGCCGCAGCTGTCGAATTGAGCAGCTCGCCTCCAAAGACTACCACCGCTCCTATCCAGAGTGCCACTGATGGTTCGTTCGCTGCCCACCCTATGGCATTTGAACTTGATACTGGTGTTCCGGTCGTTGCCCAATCCCCTCCAAAATCCTCCCCACCGCCTCAGACAAGGACTCGTCGTCTCACACCTCCTCAACCGATAACCACTCCCGCACCACAGGCAAACTCGCCCCCTAGGCAGCTTCCCCAACAAACAACGGGTCCCGCATACAGCAAACCGACTTATCAACCTGTTGGCGCCCCAGCTGCTTCAACCGCTACCCCTCCGCCCCAGGCGCAGAGGCAACTACCACAAAGAAGCCTCCAGCGGGATTTCGAGCGTGAAGAACACGGCGTCGGGAGAAATATCCACGGCAACTACGACATCGAAGCCGACGTGCTGGATTCCTACCTCCATCGCTCGCCACCCTCTCAAATCCAACCTGCCCCGCCCCAGCCCCTCCAAAGACCATTCATGCAATACGAAGCACAGGGACAACAAGGAAGCAGGCCGTCTACTCCGACCCGCGGCCTCCCAGTTCGTCGGGGATCTGGCGATTCATACTACAGCAACAGCGGGGCCCTTGGCCCAGCTTTTGGCCCACCAACGAGAAGTATGACTGATACGCCAGCATCTGGGTTCGCGGGCCCCCGAGGGATGAGAGCGAACGATGAGTTTGTCATGCCAGAAAGAAGCATGACCGCCCCATTTGCGCGCCAACCAGATGTTCGAAGCTCGCCCCCAAGAGGCAACAGTCGAATTTTCGAGAATAGGATGGCACCTTCGCCACCCAGAGGACGGGGTCCACAACCATACGGAAGGAATAATGGGAACGGGAATGGACAGGGAGGCTACGGTGGAAATAACGGATACGAACAAGGTGGCTATGGTGGTGGAGGATATTCCGCCTGGTAAGGCGACATGACGTATGACTATTGTATGTAAGAGGTGGGTGTTTTGTGATCATTTTTTATTAGCGGACCGGAAAAGAAAAGAAGCTGTATTTTTTGTTAGAGATCCCTGTATACCGGGGTTTTTTCCCTCTACCCCGCCCCCCTCGCTCCATCGACTTCACTTCTTCCCTTCGTTTTCTCTTATTTATTTTTTCATTTCTCTATTATCTGGGACGGCATTATGGTGTTTAACTGGTTACGGTGGGATTTATTTTCTGGTTCGGCTTTCTTTTGTTCTTGTGTTTTATTTTTGTGACGGAATGCCTGTCCCTGTGAATTATACTTATACCCTCATTAACGACCTTATTTTATTCTATTATTTACTCTTTACAAGATACCGATACGAGACACGATATCATATTCCCAATACTGTAGAAGATACATAGCCACAAAGGCATGCATCGAGATTCTGTACCTATTTATCAATCTAGCCTCAAGGCCAGGCGCTCTTGGGGCAGAATCTATGAGCGGATGTTTATAGTTAATATTTATGTGTGCGTGCGTGCCATTTAATACTCATACAAGAACTCTCAAGTCCTAACTAGTTAGCTATAGATAGCGGAATGAACTAAAACTAGATAAGTACATGTACACGCCATGGAATTTATAAATCCCAAGTTCCTTCCAACGGGTATCGAGTCCTTCAACCTATAGTAAAAATATAATAGTTAGCCTGGATCCCTCTACATACATCTATTTTTGAACTGCACGTACCTGCAGTTTCGTACCATACTCCCGATAAAGCGGGTTATATCCATAATTTTGTAGCTAGGGTAAGCCGCGCACGCGCTAATATTTCGTACCATGCAATTTCCGAAGATGGTATAGAATATGCTATCAATGATCAACCAACCGTGTGGTCCTCGTTGGTATCAGCCTTTGGTGCCAACTCACAGCCGACCCCCAGGTCAGGCAAAGCATATTATAGACATCCAGCTCGTGAGATATCGATAATCTCGATATCAACCGGAAACTAGTTTTGTGGGAAATATAAAAATCCCAAGTTATAGACCTCCCGCATCCTCCTTAAGCATTTTAGAATATGGGACGATTCCCTCTGAATCATATTTCAGGCGTCCGACGGCTAGATAGTATCGGGCTCCGGGTGGTGTTTGAGCGTGAAGATTGAACTCCTCGAATGGAGTATGTATTGATCGTAATCAAAGCTCGGTACACCGAATGCATCTCAAAGAAGTAATACACCTTGGCTTATCTTAATTTAATAGGCCAAATTTGCAAAATAACCCCCGTAGTTTCATTCGATGGTTGCATAAAAAGTGGTTATACCCCTTGGTGTCACAAGGAGGGGTGTGATTGCTCAACAATACCTTGGCCACCCGGGTTGCCAGCTCCGCTGAATGCTGATATCCGTGTCCGGGAGCCATAATTTCACAGGCGTCGTTATTGATGAATATCCATAAAATCCCGGGGTTAGCATTTCGGATTTCAATTTCGTATCGGGAGATGAAGGATGCTCCGAGCGACGTGGGCTAGCTGTTGTGAGCTGGCGGTACTATTTCTCGCATACTCGATTGGCGACGTTGAGGCTAGCCAATCTGTGCATGTATGAACAATTTCAACTCAGTTGAGAATGTTTTCCGTCGCGATATCAATGCGTGGTCCTTGGATTGAGGAAGAACTTCTATACGAGGAGATCCTCGCTCTTTCCCACTCAAAGTCCGGCGCGCCCGTCCGAACCGGGTCAGATATACTCCAACAAGTCGGAGACGGGTGTCTATATTTATCCGGGATATATACGCTACGAATATAGCAGCTCGGAAGCAGTAAAGGGTACGCTGGGGTAATGCCCCGTCCGCTTGGTGTCAAGCCCTTTTTTCTCAAGGGGAATAGGCCCCAGACTTGGTTGGCGGTTACCGCTAGCCATGAATTCAACGCTGGTGTGCGTTCTGGGACCTGGCTTCATTTCCCCGTATTTATATATGTACGTGTGGGAGGCCTTTCCCTCCGATCATGCTGCTTCGCCTTCGGTGGGGTGTGTGGGGTGTGCTATGGCTAGTATGGAAATCAGTAATCTAGAAAACCAATACATAGTATCCCGAGAGTTCTAGTACCTTAGACGGGGATGCATTTGTCGTCTTAGGTTGCCGATAAAGGTAAGTTCGATAACGAAAAGTGTCCATAAGTTCGGACGTCCGTTTCTGTCTAGATCGTTTTAAATTTCGATCTCGTAAACCAAATGTTGTTGGGGCGTTTGGTAGATCGTATGCTTCTCGGTAGGAAGTTCTCGTTCCGACGAGGTATCCCTTTGTGACGTCTGGGTACGAGTCCATTCTGAGCCTTCTTTATTTAGGCGATAATGTGTAGATAGTATTCACTGTCTCCAGGGGCCCATAACGTATGCATCCACATTTCCGAGGCCGATGAGAACTGTGATTGATGGTCTTGAATGCTGATTGGAATGGTGATTCTGCTATCAGAACTGGAGGCTTCATATATTTCGTCGTGATTACTCTATGTAGATAATCTACCCATATGTCGGTATTCTTGGCAGGACGGGGTGGCCGATGGGTTCTAAATGGAAAGAACCGACTATAGCATAAGGTTTCTAAAATAAGGGAGGCTGATGAAAAGGAAAGGATTCCAGTCAAGCAGTTTGAGGGGACTGGGCATGTTTATATATTTTTGCATTTACAGGTATCTAGGGAAAGTTCTGATATGCGTGAGGATCGCTTCACTAAAATAAGCTGGGAAATATGGAACGTGCGGAAAGCTTCTCACGGATTCTCTTGTGCAAGTATATAGCATGCCCCTTCTGTGAATTTAAAGGAAATATTTGGAAGATCTGGCTGGCGTGCGGCGTCTGCAGGTTGGTCGCACGTCCGTTCGATCCATCCCGCAATCTGTGCCATAAATTAATGGCGGAAACGGGCAACTTACTAGGATAGGCATGCTCGGAGACAGCATAATCAACAGATAAGTGCTTGTATACGATAAGGGTCTATGTATTTACTTAGATCGACGTCACAGGCCCACGGGGCAGTCTCGTACTAGTATATTTGGGTGTGACCAAAGACATTATAGAAGGATATTGTCGGGAGGGAGTCTAGTAAAATACATGGCCTCACTGTAACTTGAGCGCCCTGCCACTCGGAACGAATCTTGTAGAAACTGCTGTCCCACTTCTACGGCCCTTTGATCAGCCGAACACTGCGGAATCTTTACAACCCCCAACTGCTGGCCGCGAGACTATACACGCTACCCTGATTGCAAGCTAGTTTACCCGGGTAATGTGTTGGATGTCGCGAAATACCACACAGATGGCGCCACAGCATGGCATTTTCCCACCATCGAACTGCTCTTCGCAACCTTTGCTGCTAAACTTCTTGACATCTCAACAACTACCTACTTGCCTACTTGCTGAAAAGGAAGAGGGACCTGACGGCCACATAGGTATGTAAAAAGATAAAAAGCAACAATCGCAGCTAGACTACACTTTCTGAATCGACAACGAGTCACCAGGACTTGAAGCGATCACCACGCCGTGTGTTGCCCGTGCCCTTTCCTTATCAAGCGACAAAAAAATACGAAAAAGGAGCGACCGTGGATTGAACACGGGACCTTGAGATATTGGATTTAACTGCAATCTCCTGCTCTACCGCTGAGCTACCACTCCAACCACTGAGCTAACAGACTGGATATTTACGGCATCGAATATTTGACAAAATAGACCCAGAATTGATTTAGCTAGGTTGAAGGCCAGACTCGAGAAAACCACAATGATGTAACACTCTATGGAGTGTCCTGCGTTGCTGACCCGTGTGCACATGTGAGCCGGAGAAAGTTTTGGTATTAGGTATAACGTTGACCTATCGGCGCCGTTACTGGGCCCAAACCGGCTGGCTAGGACCACATGGCTAAATCACCAAGGCTTAGTTAATTCTGGCCTGGTCTATCTTTAAAAGCTACTATAGGTACCTAGACATATCGACATAGCTTCGCGAATTCGGCCTTCTGAAATATTCGAAATTCAATATTCCCAAATTGAGCTGGCAGGCCATGTGCTTCCGAGGAAAATTCCAGAAAATCGAGCGAGACCCAGCTTTGGAGGTTCCTGATAAAAGATTTAGGCTTTTTATATGAGGTACACGGGTACCAGAGACCTAGGCAGTACTGCAGTTTATAACGTTTAGTACATGGGGCTTTGCGGGCGCCGGCTCAAGCTCTCCTACGTCTCCATTGAAGGCGACTTTATTGTTGCGAAGTTGAGAGCCGACCTCCATAAGCGCTTGGCGACGAGACAAATAAGCGCACCGGTATTTAGTATACAAATCGACAGAATTGGAACATTCACGGCTTTGATCGAGCCCAATCCAGCATTTGCTTTAGAGACACCGTCCATGATCAAGTATTATATCAATATATTATCACTATTAGTTTATCCAACACACGGTATATGTGCTTTCACGACGGAAGCTTGTCTCCTGCGCAGCACCACCAGGGCCTGGGTTCGAGACAAGACGGAAGCTCCAAATCCGTTCATTTTGTACATTTGTCTCGCTCTCACTTTTCTCGAGAGTTTTACCCTTTGCAAATTAATTTACTCCACATTTAGCAAGATTAATTATTCTTCGGTCTTCCATGCATACTATTGCCAAAGCACGTTCCTGCACGCATATACGCGCATGCGCATATATATGCCTGCTAAAAAGAATGAACTTTCACGATATTTCCATGGATCCACAGATCTAAATACCTACCTGGTGGGACGTATCTGGCTGATCTAGATGATCTATAATACCTAACGCATCCACCTCACCTATATATACCCTGGTCTCGTTCCCAGCTATACCCAAACTATAACTAGCGGTGTATTCCGCTATATATATACGTACCTGCGCAGCTGTATGGTACAAGGAAGCCGCAAAAAGGAAAAAAAAGAAGACGAGGAATCATATATATACACAGCACAGACTGTACAACATGGGTTGAAGTTAGTCTTGGGTTGGGTTGAAGCATGTTATAATATTAGTCTCGGTTTCAGTGTTAACCATTGTAGTACTTGTGCGCGATTGTCGACCCCGTAGCCGTTATCTATAGATCTATAAGTCCATCATATGGAAAGCGGCCTAGTACGACGGCCGTCTCTCCAATGAGACACACTTGTACAGTCTAATTTTCGGATCCACGTAACGACCACTACCTTCTCAAAACACGAATTAACTCAAACGTTAACGCATTGAATGAATCTAGATATATAACCAAAAGGACAACCTACAGCTTGCATGATAATATAACAAACAAATAGAAGTTAAATATATTGATAATTATCGAAAACTCTGGGGTGGGGTAGCCATATATACATATCAATTATATACTAGATCCTAACGAGTTTTTTCGAAAGCGTATAGTATAGATAAACTTGACGAAACGGAAACAAGATATGCTAGTATGCTTCCATTATAAAGTCGTTGTTATGCAGCTATAGATAGTCGGTTGCCGGGAGGGTTTATGGGGACCTCCACTAAATACACATAGGAACGATACATATGACATATAGCTATATATATAGCGATGATAAAAACGTACCTACCTAAGAGGTACTAAGTTATACCTATAATGCCATGTTTCTCCACCGGCATCAAACAACGAGCTAGTTTAAATTATAAGTTTGCATGGGGTCAGTATTTGGCATGGTAGGAGGAGGTAGCCCCGAGAAATGCGGTGGCACAGACCAAAATCAAAGATCTAGATTTGTCTCGTACCCAGCCCACCCGGGGTTGTACGATTTGGGCGCAATTTTTTCATTTTAAAATTTCCACTTTCTCAGTGTTAATTAAACAATTACCTAGAAACCCCAGTATATATCAAACAACAAGGCTTCGGTGTCTAGGAAGATTTCATACTAATGTCGGTAAGATAATGTAGGCTATAATATCTCCCTTGGCCTCGCTCGTATTAAATACTTGATATATAACGCCGAAAAGTCCAATTGGCAGGAGAGGACTATTCATATAAACGAAGACGTCTGCATCGGCGGAGGGGAGAATCGAGGCCATGTGATATTTACCACAGCATCAATGGGATATAAACGCAGTATGCATAGCCCATTAACAGCGAGGTAATGGTAGCGGCGAGACGACATGCTCGCATCGGGAGACGAGAGGCTGAGCGAATCCCTCTTTCGTATTGTAGCGGGTGTTTCTGGCACTATGTATTTTTCTAGAAGCGGGCTTTAGGCGGAATTATTGTGGCTATGATCCGTAGTCTTGGGATTGGATGGGATAAGGATCAATAGTCCCATAAGCTGTTAACGCTGGCGCTTCGTCTTGTAAAATATACATGTCTTAGCTAGCAAGAATGAAATGCAGTTGGTAGGGATGCAATTCATGCGTCGATTGGAGACCCCTTCAGTTAGACCACCCTGGGTAAGGCTGAGAACGAGACCAGCTCTACCCGGTCTCTTGTTAGTTGTAGGAGTCGAATCAATGGATATATTCACTGAAAACTGCTGGGAGCTGAAGAATCGTTTTATTAATGTATACAATCAAGTTCTCCTCTATCGCTAGTTCTCGATATCCATAACATGTAACGTAGTGAAAGGGTCGTCTATGACGCCGAAAAGGATACAGTCAAGGTCTCTTAAAGCCTTTATAATCCCAACCTACTAAGCCTTCACTTCAGTTTGAAGATGATGATGGCCTGCAATCTCCGTCTCCCTCCTCTCCGTACCGCTATCGGTATCCACCGTATGAACCAATGATCTATTCTTTATACTCTCCTCCGTTTCTTCCAGAACTACCTTACCCGCATCATTCTTCTTCACCACAAAGCTCCTCCGCTCTGTGTTTTCCCATCCGGTGCCCTTCATGTCATCGTAGCTATCCCAATCCTCGGTAAGGACGTGTAAATACCCACCGTGGCTAACAATAACCACCTCATCCTTCTCGGTGTAATTGTCAAAAAGGTAATCTCGGGCGTACGCCCCGCGCTTCTCTACATTTTTCGCAGCAAAGATCCTTTTCTTTTCCGGCCATTCCGGGCTTGATTTCTCGACCAGGGAGAAGTCTAGACAGGACTGGTGTTCGTAACCCCGGATTACGACATCGTTTTCCTTCGCGGCGTCATCTACGAAGTTTGATAGGAATTCTTGGATTTCTGGGATGGTGGAACCGATATCGCATTCCCATTCCCCGTTTTCCTGGAAATAAGGGTTCGCTCGGATTTTGAAGTCCTTGTCTTGCGAGACGAGACGGGCGATGGTTGGGTGGAAGGATTCGAGGGTGGTTTGGATGGTGCGCTTTAAGGGAGAGCAGACTACATGGGTTATGGAGCTATGGTGAGGGAAAGTGGAAGCGAGACGTTGACATTGCGAGTGCCCAAGGTCAGTGAGGGCTGGATCGCGAAGGTAGTGTTGCCAGTTGACGTTGTGGTGGCCCTGGGCGTGGCCTGCATGTGTTGTGATGTCATATCAGACTTGATCCTAATCGATAAGATATCGTATCGAGAGAGAGGGAGAGAGGACTTACGGACGAGATGGAGCAGGCGTGGCGGCATCGCGAGGTTTGAGGTTTACTAGACTGATAGCAGATAGCTATAGAATTGAATGTTTTGTAGGGGAGAGGAGGGGGGAAAGGAGTGGGAGAGAGATATTAAGGCTATTTGTACGTTGGATAGGATACTGAGTTTCGACCTGTCGCCGATTGTCTTTCCGTGGAAACGGAGAGCCGAACTAGGACCTGGCCAGGGCCTGCCGGTCTGGCCAACGGGTTTTAATAGGAAACGAACCCATTTCCTGGCGTGGTCGATCGATCGATTGAGCTGCGAATTGAACGGCAGATTCACACAATCATCGCGAGTACCAGTCAGAATGCGGATTAGTGTGGATTCCACGGGCTGCCGACCCGCAGCTTGGCACAGGCTTGCTTGCCCCCTCGCCTGTATCTTCGTGCATGTGCTGTACATCGAGATTGGCGCTGCAGATGCCGTTTGCTGTAGTATTCCCAGGAACCAATCTAGTGGGGCGGATTATTTCTTCCTTTCAACTCTCCCTTCCCCCTATCGTGACTCATGCGGTCTGCCATTGCGCGGTTGGGTGCCCTGGGATGTGGCCGACGGAGGGAGACAACAAAAGCTTCTTTTTTAGTTCAATTTGGGTTGCTAGAATCGTACATTTGACGGATGTTTAAGTTGACCCGCTTTCGCTTCATCCAACCAGCCCAATCGATTGTATCTGCGTTATCTGAGCTTTGACGGTCGTACAAGTTTGGCCATTGAGTGAGCTCCTCGGGACAGGTGTCTCCGATGACTTTGGGGACGCCATGCCATGCCCATCGTGATTGGCCTCCCATTACTACTGCATCTCCTGAGCGAATTCTGATTATAAGGGTGTGGTCGTCAAGTGGTGGAGGTGGAGGTGGTGGTTCTTTGCCCTTATTCTTCTTCTTGTGCTTGTGGGATTGCGGTTTTGGAGGTGTGACAATGGTGGGTGACACCGCATTTTCCTCCTGAGACTCGGGGGAGAGGGATATCAAGAATAGAGCCTCACATCCAACACTGATTGAAACGAGGTCTTTGTCCGCCTCCTCGCTGACATCTCTATGGGTGGACAGGGTATCGCCGGGAGAGTATGTATTGCAGATGGCAGCCTCCGGTTCGACAGATGGGAACTTTTGT